ATCTCATCTCCCCGGCTCAAATACAAATGAGCAGAAGTATATTTTGGGATCTGCACGTGTTAGCAGATGTTTGGAGGAGTCCCCTGCAGAGAGAGCAGTAGGAGAGCTACGGGGACACAGCAACATGGTCGAGAGGCCACTCCCGTTAACGGTGTGTTTAATATGTTGGGTTTGGTCTGGGCCTGGGTAATTAGCATCTGAGCAGTAATTATTCACACTTGGCCTTTCTATATCCTGCTTATAGATTTGATGATTAATGTTGCTCCTTGAGTTAAGCCTACCCTGGATTTGCCAGCGCGCGTTGGGAAAGTTAAGAGGAGGCTCTTGTGTGACAGAAGACGCTGTCCCTTATGTCTAACAGCAAAAACAATACGCTAGAAAAATTAGAGTAAGAAGTGCTTTGCACAGAAGCAGCAGACGCTAAGCACGCAGCAGCCATCTCAGCAACACACCGCCATCACCATCGACGCACGAGTATCTCAGTTGTATAGTGGAAGCAAAAACCTCCCCCAGCATTCAGAAGGTGCCGCTGCTGGATGCTTTGGGGGGTTGCTGGCACCACGGAGACACAAGCTGGGCAGATCCCTGCAGCAAAGCAGGGGCGTACGGACTCCCTCAGGCACATTTCCACCACATAAACCCAACAAAGGATCTCCAGAGAAGGACATGCTATCCCCACAAGCTGGGAAATGGGGAAACGCAGCTGCTAACACCTCCACACTGGGGCTGATACAGCTCAGCCAAGCAAAATCCGTAAGCCAGCAGCGGGCTCACCTGCTCTCCTGGGCACTGGCTCCTCGGTGTCACTGCTGGCCCCGGGCGAGGAGGCTGCACTGACCGTGACGGTCCTGGTCCCCCTGTGGAGGGACCCAGGGCAAGTTTCCAGTGCTGCCCACCGAGGCCCTCGGAGGTTGGGTGCTTCTCCAGCTGCTCCTTGTGGCAAAAGACATTTCCAGCCGAGCGGCCAGGCAGGCAAGATGGCCACAAGCATCGTCCAGGATCTTGCCCAAAGCCAAATAGCACGTTCTGTCCTGGCTCCTCTTCCTCAGGGAAGGCACCAACCGACTCCAGGTCCTGGAAAGGAAGGACAGGAGCAAAGAAAGGGATAACCCTCCCCTAAACCCTGCTCTTATCCTCACTCCTGGCCCCATGATTGGGCCAGCTGGGCAGAGGCACCTGCCCCACACCTGTGGGAACGAGGCAGAGCATTAACCCCGTGCGTGCTGCTGCTCAGAGGAGGGGAAAGGGTTTTCCCTGAAGTGATGAAACCCCCATGAGCCACACAGGATGCTGCTGGACCAACCCTGCTCCTTGCTACCCTCCTCTGGCTGCTTTTATGGGACCAAAGCTGCCCCTTCTTGCCTGGCTGGCGGGTTTCCCTCAGACTGAACCCATGGCTGGGAGGGGAGGGTTTCCCCTGCTTCGGTCGTGCCAAACTCATGGGGACTCATATGTGCCAGAGCACAGCACCTGCACCGTGCCCCCTGCTCCCACCTGTCTGATGTGGGAAACGGGGACGGAGGCTGCAGCGCGAAGCCAGAGGCACTTCTGGAGCTGGTCCTGACCAAATCTGCTTTTTGTTCTCCCCAAGCAGGATAAAGCAAAAAAGTCACGTCTATCAAGCTTGGGGCTGGACTCCAGCGGCCACTTCATGGCCCTGCTTGGGCTCAGCCCCGCACAGGCAGGAGCAGCCCCAGGCTTCAGGGCAGCCACGCCTGCCGTGGGTCCCTGAGTATTTCCACACTTTCATCTGGGGGGCTTGTTTTTCTATAAACTACCACCAAAGCAGTGCCTTCCCTCCCTTTTTCTTGCCAAAATAAAGCTTTTTCATTGAAACATGTGAAGCTGTTATTTTTTTTTTCCTTTTCCCCAGGTTTTACAACATGAAAGTGGATGTTGATGTGAATGGAATTTTGAAATCAGACACAGGGAAGTTCTGCTCCGGGAGGCGACTATTTGCTCACAAAATCGTCTCTTTTCAAGCTCCCCGATGAAATTCTGCACAATTATTGTTTTCTTCTCCTCGCCCAGCCAGCCCAGTGCCCTGCACTGCTCCAGCTTTTGTTTCTCCTCTGCTCCCTACCGAGGATGAACAAAACACCACCACGACATGCCGTGCCCGTGCCCACTTCTCCTCCTCACCGTGGCTGCCGCACACAGCCAGGAGCTGCCCGCGCCCCGTGCGACGCTGCCGGTGTTAGCACACACGCTCAGCACCGTTTGGAGCTGCACACCCCGAAGAGGAACATGCTTCTGCTTCTGAACTGTTTGCAAATAGGGTGCCAGGGTGCTCAGGATTCAGGGATGTTCCAATGAACTCCCCACTAGCAGAGGGCCAGGGCTTGCTGGATGCGCAGCTCGGGGAAGGGCATTGCAGAAACCCACCGTTTCATTTGCTTTGGAGCTGAAGAGCAACCACCAGCCCAAAATCTGCGTGTGAAGTGACAGGCTTCTCCCCCAGCAGCCCCATGCTGGGGTAAGGCAAGAGAAAGCTTTGCAGACAGCTTTGGATGCAGGATGACCCCGTGCAGGGGCAAAGCAGCACTTTGGGTGTGATCCTACAGATGCCACAAAAGCCTGGAGGGCTCTCAGGGCCAGAGGACAACCCCAGGCCCAGTCTCCAGGGCTGCTCTCCTCCATCACCCATTTCCCTCCAGCAAAAGGTGCTGGTGGTCCCCACAGCACCACGAACATCCTGGCTCTTCCACTCCCATAGGAACTAGAAGGCAAGAACATGGTTAAAAAGCCCCAAAAGCCGGGACACGAACATCCCAGGTGCCACGGTGCTGTGTGCTGGGCTTGGTCCTCCAGCTCGGTGACAAGGGGGAGGATTGAGCCTTCAGTTTGTCCCCCCGGAGCTGCTGCTGGATTAACTCAGCCTAACATTGTTTAAGGAGTATTTACATGCAGAGCTTCTTCAGCTTGGCCCTCCAGTGCCTGCTGGGTTAGGCAATGCCTCTGGCTTATACCTTGGCTCAGGATCTGTTGACTCTGGAAAACCCCCAGGTTTTGGAGCATGTCCATTAAAACACGCAGCGCTGTGGTCATCCAGACTCTTCCCCTTCTGCCTATGGACCATGGAGAAACACGTGCTCCTGTCCAGCGTGAGAAACGGCAGAGCCAACAGCCAGGCGGGGCAGATCCGCAATTCCCAGGGTGGTGCTTCTAACCGGGCACGATCTCCACGGCCCTGCTGCTGCGTTATTTGTCCCACAGTCCTCCAACACCAACCAGAGCGTCCCAGAGATGCCTGTTCAGGACAGGCAGGACGAGGGCTGTGACCAAAGGCTGGCAGCTCCAGCAAGAGCAGCACGTGGAAATACTGCCCAATGGAGGAAACCTGGTCCTTCTGACCCCCATTTCAAATATTATTTTTTTTTGTATCTTAAATTGGAGTAAACAGAACCAAACCACCAAGCTGGGCTGAGCAGAAATGTGAGGAGCTGCTAGAAGTCATGAGATGCTCCAGCGGGGCAGTACAATGTGTGAAGAAGCCAACCCATGCCCCAGCTCCCTGGATTTCACGTTACTGATTTATTTGTGTCACCTCCTGCCCAGATTTACTGGGTTTATAAAGCAGGACAGTGCTTTTATTCTTGGTCTCCAGGTAGGAAACCGAGGCGGTGTCCTTAGTTAAGGTTACAGCAGGGGTCTGTGGTGGAGTAAGCAACAGAACCCACATCTTCTGAATCCATCCAAACCAGTGGGCAGCTCTCTCATGTATATACAATTTATGATTGACTGTCACCCCAGGGACTCATCTCCTATCTTCCCCTTTTAATTATAAAAATTAGTAGGTTTGAGGTATATTTGAGGGGTTTTCTTTTCCTGTGTCGACAAAGCGCAATACTTGATGACTCTAACCCCAAATTCTCTGTGACACAGATACCCTGGCAATTATAAAATACTTCCAAGCTTGCTCCATAAACCCCTTTGCTGTTGCTATTAGTATGCATTAACATTTTATTGGTGTTACAGGATGAAACATCCAGTCTTGCAGCTCCAGTGGGCTTGGGGATTTCCAGCATCCTGCAATATGTATCCGTGCAGAGGAAATTAAAATGTGGATGGATCAGCAAGATACAGTCAAATCCTCTACAGTAATTTGGAGAAGACTAAACTCTGGTGCTAGTGGAGCATATTCCAAGCTATCTAATAGAGAGCTGATGATCTCTATAACAGCCTTTTTGTAAGTTTTATTCTTGCCTACAAGGGAATTTTTTCAAAGGGGATATGTAATACCTAAACTAATATTTTTAAAGGTATATGCTCTGAACACAGAAAAGTAAGACCCTTTGCAGAGCAATCACTTTCAGGGATCAGCTAGTACCCAATAGAACACGTTCCAGTATCTTACATTCTTGCTGGAATTTCTTTCTAACCACCACACCAGCCCATTTTTATGTAGTTTGAAGCCATTATAGGACATACTGACTCAGGAATATTGGCATGCTTTGCTCTTTTAGCAATAGTACAACATGTATTTCCTTCAGCGGCAGGACCACTTGAAACCCGAAGTGGTGTGTCTACACGAAGGCTGGAGAGCGCAGTGCTGGTGTACCTCACCCACTCTGCATACATGAGGTGGTCTACAGCTACGCAACTATTCACCAGGCTGGAGTCCAGTACTGTAGAACTCACCATCTCAAAAAAAAAACTCTTCCCACACATAAAACTGGGAGGAAATCATGTCAAAATAGATACTCTGGGTACTTTGACTTGTGCAGCGCAGTCTGCTTGGGTTTATCTCTCCCAGGTGTCTTAGAAACAGAAGAACTGATAAAGAACTGCTCCTCTGCTTTCTCTCCTCCCTCCATTTACAGGGTCAGCAAATCCTTGAGCACATCCTTCATCTATTTTGGTAAAAGAAAGCGTGTGATCAGGAGGACTTAAACACACACCTCAGTGCCGGCAGCATCAGGGCCCCGCAGCGCCGTTCCCACACAAACCCGCTCCTGTTTCCAAGGGTTTACACACACCAAGCATTAAGGAGCCCAAATTCTGATGAGGGATTTCAATGTCATTTATTATCTGTGTTACAGTTGCAACTGGGAACATGGGGAGTGACTCGTTCCAATTTTAGTGACAACTGTATTTACGCCCTGTGTAGAGCCGGCCGATGTAGACATTCCCAAGCCCAGGCTTTTTATAGCAAGCAGAAGCACCCACTCCACCCCCTCAAAAGCCTTTTCTAACCTCCGAAGCCTGCTCACAGCCTTGTGCTCTTCAGAACGAGCAGATCTCCAAGCTGAAGATGCCCATCATGGTTCAGCCCTCACTAAATCTGATGTGGAGGCAGCTCTTTTTCAATTTGGCTCATCCTAGTTTGAAGCTTGGCACAATTTTTACAAGATCGGTCCAGGGAAAGACATGTCTGTCCCCGGACGCTCAAGGAGTTCATTCTGATGTCAGTGGGAAGAGTGCTGATCCACCGAAGGGGAAGCAACATTAAAGGATGAAGATCTCTCCTCTTGGCTATTAGAGCATGAAATGACCTCCAAGAGTCCTGTTAAATTCTACATCTGAGCCAGGAGAATCCTTGTTGAAGCAGCGAGACCCCCATGAGCTTCTCAACCGTAGAAGGTTCCCACTGGCACACTGGCAGCGGGAGAGTTCAGGTTACGTTAGCAGTTATCACTAACCACCAGTTCCACCTTCTCCCTCTCATTTCTGCCTCCTTCCCTCTCTCAGGAAGGAAGTCAACACAGTTGCAGGGACAGAGTGCGGGATCCAAGGCTCTTGTGTGGTTCAACACCAGCTCCTTGGGGTACAAACTACATCTCCATCCTGGAAACTGCCAGCTCAGATTCTGCTGCTCAACAAATGCTGGTCCTGCAGTGGGGACTTCTTTGTTTATTTAATAGCAGGAACTCAGCACTACGTAATGGAACTGAGCCGCACACCAGGGACAAGTTAATACAGCAACAATGGCATGAAACAGTTCTATTTTTTATTCTTTTACTACTATCACGGCACGAGGCTGCTTCTCTTAACTCTTCATTTATTACTGGCTGCCATGAATGATCATTTATAAAGGAGGGCTGCAAAGAAAGAGATGCGGGAAGGTTGATGGCGATTTGCGAAACAGGCCCCGTGTAAAGGCAACAGCTGTTAAACAGAAACATGAACCAGCCTACGTATTGCAACCCCGAAGGATCCAGTTCTGAAAACTGAATTTAAAAAAAAAAAATGGCTTGGTCAGTGGGCTGAGCGGGAAGGTGGTGAGAAACCCACACTACGTCTGCTTCCCCTTCACTGCGCGTCATGTTCACTAAGGGACACGTTCAAGATGAATTCAAGTGCCTTCAAAGAAAACATCTGTGATCCAAGATGACATTTCTGCTCACCATCCATCCCTCCACGCTGCTGCCGCTTTTAGCAACATGCACTCACACAGTTGGCCTGCGTTGACGGAGAATATATAACCCAGCGACAAGAAAACCAGCATTTGCTAAGCACATCTATGCTAGCTCTAACCACTCGTGAGAAGGTCCAGGTATAATTTTCTATATAAATCCAACAAAGCTGCTGAGCTAAACCGATGCTGGAAGTCCTGAGTCAGCCCCTACAGCAGGACAGGAAAAACATCTGAAGAAAAAAGGTTCCAGTTCTCACCCTGCCTCAGAAACAAGGCTCAAACGTCTTTTGGTTATGAGAGTCTCTGATCTTCAAGAGGTATTTGCTGGCCTGGGAACAGGCTTCACACATCACCTACCTGCCAAAGCCAAGCTGGGAAAGAGGGGAGTGGGCATAGCAAAAAAGTTAAATAAATAAATAAAACATACTATATGACAGAAAGACACCTAAGAAGGACACAAAGACAGACGGGATACACTTGTTCCATGCAGTTAAATAACGAGTCAATTTTGGTGCAAGAGATCAACCACCCACATGGCAAGTGTCTCCACAAAGCCTCTTCCCTGTGCCGAAGGCTCCAGCCATAGGCTCGGCTGGCTCTGCTCCGAAAGCGGGAGCAAATCCCAGTCTGAGAGAGACCAACAGAATCACCAGTGCAAAACAGAGACACTTTTAATTAAAACCACAATGTTGGAGGAGGTGGGGGAGTGCCGCTTCAGACACCGAGCGGCCCTGGGTGCTGCTACGTGTGTGGACCTCCCCGGAAAGGAGCAGAGCCCCGAGAAGCAGTGATGGACATCAGTGGGAGGCAGGCAGCTGACTGCCACGCGACGGGGGCACATCCCAAGCAGGCTGATAAGAATCAAATAAGAATTAGCTGCTTGAAGTCCAAAACTTCCTAGCAGGACAGGTATGCAGACTCGGGCAAGCAAGAAACAGAGCTCTACGTGAGCCTCCTCGGCAGGTCCCAAGCCCAGGGACACCATCCATAGGGAGCAGTGGCTGCAGCTGCAGGGGAAAGCAGCACCTCCCCACCCTCTTTTGGTGCTGTGTTTCACATTCTTGGTGTCCCTCCCATGGATGGATGTCAACATTTCCACCCATCCTTTTGCACGGAAGCCCCATTTCCATCAGATGACCAGGAGAGATGCATTCCCAACCCTTGGGCAGATTTGGGAAACCATGAGCTTTAGCTCAGCCTTTGCCAGCCAGATGCTCCACAGCCGTTTAAAGCACGGTGATACTTGACAAAAGCCAGGCAACAGCACGGGGGGGCACAGGTGGGGACGCCTGGGGTCCCCGCTCCAGGCACTGGCTGCTAAACTGCTGCACTGGAGATGGACTCAAGTCTCAGCAAACACACAGATCTCCAGGAGTGGATCCGTTTGGAAAGCCAAGACAAAACACACAACCCACTTAAGAGGTAAAGCAAGATTTAACCCCAGTCTTCCATTTTCATTTAAAATGCAAGTTTATAAAGTTGTTTCAGGCAGGTCAAGAGATTCTAGCCCCCCCACCGCCGCCCAGGGCTGAGCCAGGAGCAGACAGGACAGTAGCAGTACTAGAAAGCTCTGCTTTAGCTCTGCAGACACCTGCATTCCACTGCCTTCATTTAAACTCTTCTTGCTCTCCCCTCCCCTGAGCGCCTGCAAGAACCTTCACAAGAGGGAGTAAGTTTGGCAAAAAGAGAATTGCAGAAAAACAAAATTCATAAGCAGGCTATTCTTTTTTCCCCCTCCCAACAGTAAAGCAATGCAGCAGTGAAAGCTGAGCAGCCAGGCTGGGGGCAGCCCCAATGCCCCTTCCGCGGTCTGCAGGAGTGCCCAAGAAAGGATCCCTGCTGTCCCTGACCCCCAGCAAACACCAGACCAGAGCCCTGTCCCCCCCCCCACCCAGCCTAGGAACCCCAAGAGAAACATCCCCTCTCCAGCTGCACAGTTGGGGACCACCTTGGTCAAGGCCTGTGGACACAACAGCTCACCCCAAACCCAGCACCAGCCATTCCTGCCCTCCTAGCGATGCTGCTGGTAGGATCTGGACCACGTCTCCATTCACTCACCTGCCTTTGAGATGCTGCTGCTGGCAGCACTGGAGGTGCCCGAGATCCAGCACAGCAACACCAGCAAGGAATGACAAAGGGCAAGAGCTCTCTGCAGGTATAACCCGCTGTCCTGGGCTCTGCTCTTAATGCTTTTTCTTTCCAGCACAAGTATATAAATGCACGTAAAGCTGCATGCTTGCCCCCTCATGCTGCCTTTGCTCCAGGGATGCCTCCCTAAAAGAGCTGGAGAACATGCTGCTTCGTGGGGGGAAATCCCTTTGCTGTGGGGCTGTCACTACAATTTATGGCCAAGCAGTAGCAACCATGGTCACCTTGTGCCACTGAGGCCAGCCCAGCCCCAGGCAGCAAAGTACAAAGGAGGAACAGGGGAGTGCAGAGGGCAGGTTGGACCCAGCGACGAACGTGTGTGAACATGTGAGGTTTTGTGCCCATTAAGAGGGAACCTGAGCAGGTGCCGCTCAAGCGGTGTCTTTGCATAGCGGTTCCCAGAGAGCCGGATCCCTCCAGGGACCTCGTCCCCAGCTCCAGAGCCAGCTCAGACCCCGCAGCCCAGAAGGTTCCCAGCTTCACCCCAGAGAAGAGGCAGCAGTGGGAAAGGAAGACCCAGGGTACCTTGCAGAAGAGATGGAGAGAGGCGGCTTTCCTTGCCCAGAAAAAGGGAGAGTTGGCACCCTGGGCTTTTAACAACCCACAGACATTCCCAACAACTTCCTTTACCCATTTCAGACCTCCCCGTGCAAGGAGAGGTGGCTGCCTACAGCCACGTGCAGGTTCACACTTCACCCCTTTCAGTGGTTTCCAAAACAAAACAGCAACAGGAAACTTCAATGAAATTCAAAAGGGAAACTGCAGTTACCACTGCCCAACACATACACACGTGCCTTCCTCCCCTCCACACCCCCTTCCTCCCGGGAAGGGAAGCAGAGGGCCTCTGCTCAAAGCCCGTTCCCATGCCCAGCGCTGTACGCGGCGGTGGCGCTGCCCCTGGACGCAGCGCAGCGGAGCAGCACAGCCCCGGCTTGGTCGCTGGCGAGACATCCCCGCGCTGGGGACATGCAGGAGGAGCCGCTCCAGGTCCCGTCTCCTGTGCAAGGCCGGCGAGTGCTTTGGATCTGTGGTTGCCGATGAGGATGTGCAGGAATGGATGGGCTGTGTGTAACGGGCAAGGTGACGAGGAGGGGGTGAGGGGAGGAGGAAGAGCGCCGCGCTACGCCTCCGCTGCCTCGACTCCTCCCGCGGCCTCCTTAGGATGTCACAGGCTGGATGGGGAGCAGGCTGCCGAACTTAAAGTGCTGGATCACAGGAAACTTCTCCAGGCACTGCAGGAGGGGAGATAAAGAGGGGTGAATTCAGGAGACATTTCCACCTTACGCACGCAGCCAAAGCTACATCCTGCCTTGGGAGTCAGGAGGCGGCGAGCTTGGGGCCACTCAGCTCAGCTGCAGACAGAAGAATCAGTCCCATGTCTACCCCCAACATCCCCGTCAGGCTTCTCAGGGCAGGAACACTCCATAACCCCATCCCCTCCCCTTCAGCCAGAGCCTTTCGCTTGCTGAAATTCAGGCCTGGAGCATGAGCAGAAGAGGCATGTTTGTGTCAGCAGCTTTCTCTCTCACCAACTCTCCTTGCTCAAGCTGATCTCTTTGAAGAGCTTCACCCTTCAAACGCTTTGAGAACTGCAGAAACCTCCCGGGGAACAGACTCTCCCTCCCCAGGACAGGGCCCACACTCTGGTTTCGAGGCACCATCCTGCAGCCACAAGGCACTGCCCAAACTGCATTCCAGATTCTCAGCTCTTTGATAGACAAGAACCAGTGACTGCTGCCATAGTTTAAGATATGATCCTATTCCAAACAACCCCTCACCCCTGAAATTCCCACCCCTCATTGCAGAGCAATGATAGAGGGAGGGTGGATCACATATATGTCCACTACAGGGCAGCTTAGCTCCGAGCTGCTTCCTCCAGCTAAGCCCAGGCTCTGCACAGGGGAGAGTCCCTTCTGCTCCCTACCCTGCCAGGGCAGGAAGGGCAGTGACTGTGGTCAATAACCACGTCAAATTTTGCCAGCACTCACCTGGCAGAGCCACTCAGAGCTCCCGCTTTCTATCATTGCAGATTCAGACTGCCCAAATCTCACAGAGAGAACAGACCCTCAGCAGTATGTGTACAGCAACCCAGCAGCTGCCTCCACACTGACACCAGCCGTGGTGGCTGTGAGGAGTTGTGCTAAACAAGGGACACAGACCCCCTCACCGTGCTGCAGTGGGGACACACCTACCAGATTGCTTGGGGCACGGCTAGTGACATGGTGGCCACCTCCTCGCTGCAGGCAGAGAAGCAATTCTTCCCTGCCTAGACAGCACGACGTGAAGAGGAGAAAAGAGACCCAAGTGCCTTGTGTTTTGGGAGGAACGCCCTGTACCCAGCCAATCCCAACCAGATCCCAACCAGGATCTGCTGCTGGGAGTCTTATTCTATAGGAGGTAGGAAGTATGTACAACCAAAGCACCGCAGCTACCAACTAAGAGGAGCCCATCTAGTCCCAGCAATTCCTCGGCACATTGCTCAGAGCCAGGCTGGATGGGATGCTGTGCTAGGCAGACACACAGCTCCCCCCAAGATGCAGACCCAGCAGCAGGAGGGTGTCAAGGTCCCACAGGCTCCTGTCTGCAACCAACAGCCTCCCAGGCAGACCCTGGGGACAAGATGCACAGCTCAGTCCTCCAGGCACTTCTTCGAAGCACAGTTCCCTCCTACCAAAGGGAGGCAAGAGCCATGTCATAGTTCCAACTCTCCTTTCCATTTCAAGGAGCCTTGTGCCCTCCGTGGGGCTGAGCTGAACCTGCTGCAGCAGGGGAGATCCCAGCTCTGGGGACGGGGAGGAAGCGGTGTGCTGCAGGCGGCTCTTCATCCCAAGGCAGGGCACAGGCAGAAGCAGGCAGCCTGCCCTCATGCTGTCTACTCAGAAGCCCAGGCCTATGGTAATCCCTTTGGAACCAGAGGTCAGACAACTGGTTCCAGCATAACTGAACTGCTCCCAGGCACACTGGAGCCAAAACAAGTTTGGAGGTGGTGAAAGTACAGCACGGCTGTATCCACTTTTGGGGAGTAACAGCCATGCAGAAAACCACAGGCCTCCATGGCAAGGCACCAAGGAGAAGTAAGTCCTGTGACCATCAGGGCACATCACCTTCAAGGCTTCGTAATGCTCAGAAATGCTGCCACCTCCCCGCACAACCACCAAGACAAACCCTCAGAGGAAGCAGTGCTGGATAACAGTGACGTGAGGGAAGAACAGAGAGAAATGAATATTGGAGATGTCGACAGCTAGAAATGTCAGCCTGACTAGCTCTAAGGAGTCCCACAGAAGACCAGGCTGGTTTGGGCTTCGAGTGAAGAGATTTTACCACCAGTGGGAAGAACAGGCATCCATTCCACTTAACACCTCACCAGCCCAAGAAGAGACAAGCAGAGAAACTTTTCCTCCTCTATCCAGCAGGACTAGCACAAATTTACAGGACTATTAGAGGTGCCAATAGACAGGACCCTCCTTGCATCACTCGTGGGTGAAACTGGTGGAACCAACACTAGCTCACTGGACAGGACAGGCTTATTTCCTTCTTGCCACCATCTTGATCATGCTGAAGGTCTGCCTGGGACTCAACTGGGGGAGTAGATTCATGCATCAAATCCAACCTTTCAAGATGGAACTGGGACTAGATTAGTTACGATGGAAAGTATTTCCTGACTGACTGAAGCAGCGAAGGAAAGGTCAGGAGACTCAAAAGCAGGCTCAGAGGAAAAACATCAAGGCTGCTGCTTTAACCACACTCTATTCTGTCAACTTCTTCACTCCCCTTTGATGGAGAGAACAAGAAAAGCCCTTGGACTTCCAAGCAAACACATCTTCACCCATTATATTATATGATAAATAGACACACTTGAGATTTCATAAACACACAGAGCTGAAGACACATTGTCTTCAGTCTACTGCCCATCCACAGACCCTGCAGCAAGCACATGGAGTGCGGGGATCCAGACTAGAGCTCCCAAGCACATGGAAGCACCCGAGCTTTCTGTTGGCCGTTTAAAGTCATCCCACTGAGGGGACAGAGAAGACATAAAGCATCCAGAATGTTTTTTTTAAATGAACCAGGTCTGGGGACTGCCCCACTCCTACTCAGTGAGAGCAGTTTGCGAGTGAGCATTTGATTTCTTCTGGTCTGCTTCTAGCAAGTGACCCCTTCGCCCTGCTGCTGTCTCCACTCAAAACCCGGTCACGGTCAGCGCCACCCGGCACCAAGCACTTCTCAGCCCCCCCAGACATGTTAAGGAGCGAAAGCCTCCATTGGAGTGTCTGATTTCACCTGATCTAATTGCAACGGGTGATCAGAGGGGCAGGGAGAAGGGAGGGGGGAAAAAAAAAAAAGGAAATCTTGCTCTCACCTTAGCCAGTCAGACAAAAAGCAACACCACAAGCCCAAACCTTCCCTCTTTACTACCACACACTCTGATCTCTGCCACAGAAAATGCCTGTCTTGAGCTGGACAAAGACCCATGTCAGCACCTGGGGGCTGTTGGCTCACTTCTGCTAATGTTGGCAGGGACTAATTGGAGAACGACTGCAATGGTGAAGCTACACTGAGCAGAAACTGCTCCAGGAGCCAGCAGCAAACCGACAAGATCTTCAGCAGTGACTGTGGGTGCCTAGCCTGAAACACCCAGAAGGACTTAGTTTGCAAAGGGTGAAGCCTCAGTGACTTTGAACATTGTGTCATTCCCAGAAAATCAGTCAAAGAGATCCTGTAGTTGCAAATGTTGGTAAAACCTGCATGGTCAGGCGCGCCGTAACTGAAAGCTCTGCCCAGCCACACTGCCGTGTCCGTGCTCCTCATCTCCCAAGCCGAGGAGGAACTGTCTGGGCCAGCAGCAGGATGGGAGACTCCCCAGAGCAGATACAAGGAACCAGGGAGAACTCAGCAGTGCCCCCTCTCCTCTGCCCATCCAGGTGAACACACACACTGTGCCATGCCAGGAGAGGACACTGCTGCATGAGGATCATGTGCTTAGGATTAGTCCTTTAAGATCTACAAATGTTCTTTGAGGAAAAAACTAAATTTAAAGCGCTTGGTTGACTCAATGTTTTCTACACCTTAGCCTAAATTTGTGTCATAACTCTTCCTAGCAGTTTTTGCATCCTCCCCTTGACACAGCTACATGTCTAGATATTTCTAGAAAGCCACCAGTACTGGATCTGGCATTTCCACACAGAATGTCATCTGCTATTCAAAACAGATCAAGGCTTCCAGAAAAGGCCGTGTCTGAAGTGAACCAAGAAGAGCCAAAGAATCTCCCAGAGGAGCTCCGAGCTGTGCTGTCCCCAGCAGGCCAGGGAGATCTGCCAGCACATGGTGGCCCCAAGACATCAGTGGACATGCATACTGCACCATGGGCACACATTGCCAAGCTCCTCCAGCCACATATGTGGTACGTGGGTGGGAACAACCATAGGGCACAGGGCATGTGGGGCACCAGGCAGGAGCACCCCAACAGCGTGGGGCATGGGGGATGCCAGGGGAGCACCCACACAGCATGCAAAGGAACTGGTCTGAAGGAAAGAGCAAGGCAGGGCTGTCGAGGCAGCAGCAGATCATGCTTTAGGTTTTAGGGGACCCCTGTTTCACTTTAACAGCACTCCCAGGGCTGGGGTCTTCCCTTCAGACACCCCAGCTCTCACACCAGCACCTCCAGCTCAAGGTTTCCCCGCAGGCAGTGTCTCCAGCCCGTGAGGGAACTGTCAGGGAGGGCAGTCCCTGAGGGGCAGCCCAGGGGCACCCCTCTGAGGAGCAGCCAGTTCAGGGGGTCGACCCCCAGCCCTGCTTCTCCTCTTTGGAGGCTGGGAGGAAAACTGAGCTGGGGGCGGAAGGAGCCAGCGGGCCTGGGAGTGACACCTCACAGATTAGAGAGGTATGTGGCCTGGAACCTAAACACAGGATGTGCAGTGCAGAGGAAGGGCTGGGGGAGGGAGCACGCCAAGTTAGGCACAGTTAACCCCTTTGTGCACTGGGTCTGAGCAGAGCTGCTCACTCAGCCCCTGCCCTACGTCCCAGCAACAGGAGCATGGCTGACCTAAGCAGAGACTACAGGGTATAGGATTAACTCCTTCAAGCACCACCATCCTCCCTGGGTGCACCAGGAAGGTGCACCATCCCTGCTCCTCCAGCGTGTTTAGCACAGCCAGTGCCTCCCTGCAGAGCCAGCACGGCCCCATCCTTCCCAGCAAAAGATGCCGCCTGTCAGCCATTCCCTCAGGAGGCCCAGATGTGGCGGTTCCTGTCCTGCTTCCTCAAGCTCAGGGTTAGCTCGAGGAGGAAGGAGAGATAAGGGAGAGCCAAAACTGCCCGGTTCCCCAGGTCAGGGCTCGCCAGGAAAGCCTGCTGGGGCAGTGCCAGCACAGTCCGGGCGGGTGGAGGGCTGCCAAGCCGGGACGGAGCTGTGGCCTCGCCGGCCTGGCACACGGCACGGACCGGACTTGCAGCGAGGGGAGATTAGTGGGAAGCGTTCAGCCTGCTCTGGGGCTCTTGAAACATGGGATGATTAAACTAAGTCTTCTCCAGCTGGTAAAATAGCAGTGTGGGGACCAGAAGGACAAGATATCAGCGCTAATTTGGAGACCCGCAACTTGCACAATGGGAAGACGAGAAATGGCAAAAGTCACGTCTGCGAGGAATGGCCGTTCTGGGGGCAAACACTAGGAGGCAGGAGCCTCCTTCTAGCCAGCAGCACCTGAATTGCCAAGGGCTCCCAAGCCACATTCAGCACAGGGCAGAGACCGGCCGTGTCGGGGCCCCCATGCCAAGGAGAAGCAGGAGAGAAGAGCTGACCCACGGTGCAGTGGGAGGGAGGAGGCGCGTGGCCGAGCAGCCTCCCCCTGCCCACGGCGCTCACCTCTGCCTTGTACATGCGGATGAGGCCCTGGTTGACCTTGGACCAGGAGGGCACGGCGCTGATGTTCCAGAGCTGGTTGGAGTGCTCGGCAAAGGGGCCCGTCTTCATCTGAAAGAGACCCAAGAGCAGGGCTAGCCAGGAAGCTCGTGCACCAGCAGTGACTCATGCTCACACTCTCTTCAAGCAAACATTCCCACCAAGCCCTGTGACCCACGCACCAGGCACCTCACTGAGCCTTCCCTCCCTCCCTCCATGCTCCCTCCTGCTGTGGCCACATCACATGAAGCCGTGGCAATCCAGCTCTCCCCCTTCCCTGACAAAATTAAGCCTTTTCTCTGCCACACTTTCCTAATCAGACCTCCCTCTGCACACCTCCCTTTTAATGACTGCATTAAAAAAGCCCCACGTAAGGCCCATTCTCCCCCCCAGTAGAGCTTGGCTCAACGCTGTTCCTATTCTACCCAGAAACCTCCCAGTGCAGCACTGCTGGGCTTTCCAAGAAAATGACTCATTCCCCATTCAGATCAACAACAAGCAGCAGCGACAACCACCGCTGCCTTCCCTGAATGCAGAGGGCAGCACAGGTTGGCAGCAGCTCCGGTGTCCGCAGCCCACTCCACACCTGCCTCTAGTAGAGGAGGGCTCTGGGGGGAGGTGGGAGCAGGGGGGACACGCTCCAGTCCTGCTCTCCAAACAGGCTCCAGAGCTGCGAGTTGCTAGCTTGCATGCAGCAGATGCTTTACATTTTTTTAATTTTTTTTTTTTTTTTTAAATATTCCAGTGTTTCTCCTCCCAGGGTGAGGGGTTTGGAGCAGGGAGGGAAGGGGGAAAGCTGCAATCAGGGACAGTTGCATGTAGATTCCCTGGGTAGTTGTCTCTCCTTCTCCTCCATGAACAAAAACAGACCCTCAGGGAGAAAAAGAAATACAACACAGCCACTCTGACTGAGCAAAGTTCCCATGACATCAGAAACCACAAGGCCGGAGCTCACGCTAAAAAGGAGCGTGGGGAGAGAGGAATCTCTTGGACTCTCGTTCTCGACTCGGGGCTCAAACAACTAACCCCTTCCCTCCACGCATGCACAGGCCTGGAGCAAGGGTGGGAAAAGAGCCTCCAAAACCACCTCTGCCTACTGCAAAAGCAAGCAAGGCCGATCAATCTGCTTTGGGAACTTGCTGCTGCCCTTCTGCAAGGTCTGTGCAGCACCAGCCTGCAGCAGAGAAAGAGAGGGAAAGAGGGGGGGGACGGACACACCAAAACACCCCACTGCTTGGAGAACAACGTGTTTCAAACCTGCTGACCTCAGGGCCAGAGCACCAGGGGAAGCGGGTCTGTAGTTTTGCCAACTGCCAGGAGAGCGCAGACGCATCCCCGCTTCCCCTCGGCGCTTCTCGTGAGCTGGGGGATGAGGGATGAGCCGCTCAGCCGTTCCCGCTCCCCTCGGCCGTGTGCGCTTTCCTTGCGGATACAAGATGAAACGCGCAGATACACAAAGCCCGACGCTACCCAGCAGAGCCGGCGTGTTATTAAGCGCAAGGATTTGGCACCGGCGGGCACCCAAGTTAAAGGCTGCCAGGGAGCTCAGCGCCAGGCGGTTCGCTCAAAGCATCCCTCCTCCTCGTACGGGAGATCTGGCTGCATGCGTTTCGACGCCAAACCTCCCTCCAGCATCGCCGCCCTTCGCAGGGGCACAGCTTGCATCAGTCACCACCACCATGCTTTGCTTCTCCTCCCTTCCCAAGCTGGAGCGAGCGTGACGCCACCGTGGCCCTCCTCACCCACAGCACCCAGTGAGGGATGGCTTGGCTATGGTTTCAAACTGGGGAGGGAAAAATAAGGGGGATAAGGGCGGGGGGAACCAAAAAAAAAAAAAAAAAAATCATCTCCTTCCAGCCACAAAGGGCAAAGAGAGAGAGCTGGGGGGGGGAAGAGCGAGAGGCAGCGAGTGCGCTGCAGTCCCGCAGTGACCCCAGGGGAACAGAGTGAGTCAGAGCAGCCATATTGAGCAGGAAATTACTCACAGACGCGGCGTTCCTGCCTCTCGGTTCCCAAGAGAATCGGCCTTTTGTAAATGGTTCCTCTGTCAGTGCCGGGGGGAGGGGGACGGCTGAGGCCGTGCTTTCCTGTCAGCTCCTTCCCTTCCAGCCGAAACCCGAGCCCTCCCTTCCCAAACCTCCAAATTTAGAAGCCAGATTGAAGCTGAAATTCCTGCTGCCTGCCCTGGGCCCTCGGAGGAGCATCTGGGCGATCACACGGCTCCACCGAAACAGCCGGGGCGTACCCTGCACCCCTTTTCTGCACAAACACACAGAGCCCTGCCATCACTGCCGACCACAGCCCCTAGCGCAGCAGGCACCGCAGAGATGCTCCCAAACCCTCCTCGCCCTCACACCTACAGGTACCACACGCACCCACAGCACGGTTTGGCAGCTCGAGTCCCAGCTGGCTCCACAGACCTCACCCTATTCAAGAACCAAACATTCATGTCCAAAAGCACCCTGCAGATTTCCCAGCAGCAGGCCAGCTTACACAAGGCTCGCTGCCGTGCCTGTGCGCCGTGCGGGGTGGTGCTGCTGTAAGGATGCCTCAGTGGGTTCAGCCTGGACATCATCTTGCTGCTACTTGAAGAGCCTGAGGTTTAAATATACACGTGGCAAACACCACGGCAGTGTATATTCATATCCCTGAAACGTCACCCAGGGGCTGAGAAAAATACCTGCTCAAGAGAATATTCTCTTGGCTGAAAGAAAACAACCTACCATGGTCGTAGCTTGCTGAAACAAAACCTGCTCTCATGTCGGTAAGACGTACCAGACCCACAGTGGGAACTGTTATGGTGATTGCTACATCCTTAACATCTTTAAAGGAGAGCTGTTTCCAGCTGACAAGCTCAGAAGAAAATAATATCGTTCATTTATTAAAGTCTTTAATCCCTTCTATCTCTTTCCCTGCTATTTTGTTTTGTTGTTGATTTTGGAGAGAAAGCATTTGGAGGACACATGAGGCTGTCTCAGCCCCCCCTAGTGGCAGTAACAGCCTTCCCAGGCATTTGGGAGAGAAAAAACAAATTTTAAAAGCAAAATCTTCACAAAAAGGTAACAGCGCCTGCATGAAGAAGGATTGAAAACACCATGCATTTGATAATCCAGGTTGTTGCCTTTCCTTAGCGGCTCACACCAGCAGGGCCCGAGAGGAGGGCTCCTTGCCACCAGGTGGCACTCAGGAACTCAGCAGAAACACTGAATTCCAATATTCTCAACAAATGTGCAGAAAAAGAAGTGAAATCACTTATTTAAAAAGCCTACTAAAAAGCGAACATTCTGCAGGCAAAAGAAGAGTGACCTGAAGAAGCAGTATGGTGCCCTGTATTTTAAACTGTACTGTGTATTTTAAACTTTGCTGTGCACTGCAGAATTTTCTACACACATGTCAAGAGATGAATGTTTTTATGTTTTTAAGAGGTTAGTGCACTCTCTGGATATTAGAGGCCCAAATTAAAGCAGGTCTTAGAGCTCCATGGCTCCTGCTTTCCTGTCCTCGTCTTGATCCCTTTCGTCAGCACCTTTTTACTACCTGCGGCATGGTTTATCTCTGCGTTAAGGGTTAAACCCTGTGAGGTGCTAAGTACCAACAAACCCTACTAGATTCAGCAGGACCTGACACAGCACCTCCCGGGGTCTGGGCCAAAGACTCCTAGGAAAACTTCCTACATGAAAGGCTAAGTTCATATTCCGTAACCTCCCTTCTCATCTATCACTAAATTAGAGGCAAAGCGGGGGGGGCGAAGCAACCAGAACAAAGGGGAAGAACCACACTCTGCCCTCCAAAATTAATCCCATCAACTCTCTCTTGCCAGAGACAAGAAATTCCTCACAACAGAGCATGTGGATCTTGCTCTCCCTGCCCAAACAAGGGGGCCAGATCATCCACTGCAGCTGAGGGCAGAAAGCTGTGAGCTCCCTCATTGAGAAATACTGCCCACGGTTGGCAACGAGCTGAATATCCCCAGTCCCTCACCCAAGGGCCCTCTAGTGCTTGAGCAGAAACACGGGCCCGAGAGCGTTGCCAGGTGGGTGAATCTCAGCACCATCTCTGCTCTGCATCATTTGCAAATAAGGAGCATTTAATGGGCAACTCTCTGGGTAAAATCTGCAGGAAACCAAGCTGCACGGAGGTTTGGGAGCCTGCCCTGAGCAAGGGAGGCCCAGGGCCTGCCAGGCAGCACCCAAAGGCTGGAGGGAAGGGAGGTTATCTTGGCAAGCCCAGCTGTTTTGCAGCTCCGACTTCATCTTCCTCACATACTTGCAGGCACCAGCCTTCTCCATTCAAGTTCCCACTGACTGATCCAAGGTTATTTGTTTGCTCTTGTTACAGCTCCCTTCAGCTGCAATCCACAGCCCATCTACCTTAATTATACTTTCCTCTCAACATCCCTGTCTCAACTCATTCAAGGAGAACACCTCAGACATGCAACAATGGTTCATTCGCACAGTTCCATGAGAGCAAACAAGAAAAGGAGGAAGAGAAAACCACAGCCAGAGCCAAGTATCTAATGTCAAGAGAACCTCCCTGTGGGACAAACCTTCCAGTCCTCACCTCTGTAATGAAGAGGATGCACTCCAGGAACATGAAATCCTTATGGTTTTCATTTACCACCTTCTCATCAACAAAGTGTCGAGGCTCCAGATTTGGATGGTCTAAAAAGAGCAAGAGACAATAGGAAGTAACCTGTGTGGCACCCTCCTTCTGAGATCAAGTTCAGTCAGGTCTTGTCCTGCCCCTTCTCCAGAAGAAACATGATCCTCCCATCAGAGCTTCTCAGAAATCAGCACAGAGCTGTTCCCTTCCATCTCATCTCCCACTTGAGTACCTCAGCTGTGAGAGCACCTGGTAAACTCCCCAGGGCAGAAAACGTGTCTTCTAGCACCAAAACCAAGACTCTCCTTTTAAAAAGCTTGCAGTCATTGCAATACAGACAGATGTACTGCACAAGAAAGCCTTCCATCTCCCGACCTAACCAACTAGCTTTATTAGGAAAGTTGATTAAAAAAAAAAAATCCAAGCCCCAAGCAAACTTCTGCTATATTATACACAAATCTGACATATTTGAATTTAAAAGTCAGTCCCAAGCCCCATCATCTTTGCAACCTAGACAGACAGGGCAGGGGGCAGGCTGGGACATGAGAAGATTTTTATTAGTACCTATCAGCTGAGAACTGCCCCATATGAAAGGTAGAAATTGGAAGTCATCCAAGCCCCACACGCCCTGGCTGCCAGCAGGTTCCATCCTGTAGGTCTTCTGAAGTTTTCGCATCACTTCTAGGTACCTGAGACCAAAGAGAGAAGGAAGGGTTAAGACAAGGCCTTCTTGTCTTCACTGACTTACACAAGGACAAGAACAATCAGTCTGGAGAGGGACACAACTCTCGCTTGCAAGCAGGACCAGCACATACAGCACAGTACACAGAATATATATTCAGCTCCTTTGACAGAGAAAGCAGCCTGACAGTAAGTATAGTAGCAAATATCAGCACTTTTTAAAAACTGGGCTGTGTTTTGTCTACATCAGATCCACTAAGAAAACAAGTGGCAGGGGTTTATTTTATCTGCAGTGTCTTAAGTTGGTGCAGATCTCTCCCCACTCCGCTGTTGTTTGAAAACACTGACATTTCGCTCTCCTTCAACAGCTTCCAAAAGAGCTCAGAAAGCTTTCCACCTTGCAGCAACTACTACTTCCACTTTTCAGGTGGAAAATTAAAGCTGGAAGTACTATTGAAGGAAATTGTTTCCATGCCACCAAACAGTGATACAGCTGGGATTAGATCTCTCGACTCCAAACACCCATTCCACCAGTTTCATCACTACAAACTCTACCTCCTGGGCTGGAAACACATCTAGGAGCAGTGGAGGCCTGCCAGTTTCATAGATGTTTGGGTTTTTTAATGCCTGAAGAGATATTAGATCCTCTGATTAGATCTTCCTGTCCATCACAAAGCACAGAGCTTCACCCACACACCTCTGCAGAGCGCAATAACCTGTGCTCAAGTTAAGTAACTTTCCAGAAAGACACTCAGCCTCTAACAGACTAGGTGCTACCACCTCTTTTGGAGATAGTTAAAATGGGTCACCACACAGTCCATTAAAAAGTACATCTGCCTCCTAATTTTATTTAAATTTGTCTTCAGTTTTCCCATTCTGCCCTTTTTCCCTAGGTTAGCAAACTCTTCAGCACTCACGTTCTCAAATTATGTACACGTTTTTGTAGAAGGCCCTTATTTTCCCAGCTCACACCCCAGGAGAAGGCTCTTAAAATTTCTTACTCCCAAATTGTTACGAATGGGTGGAAGAAAGGGGGCACAATCAGCCCAGACTACGGGAGGAGCCTGGCATGCAGAACAGGCAGTAACAGCTCACATCTCAGCTGGAAGGGGACACTGTCAGGGACCTGCCCTCAAACAGCCCAGTGCTTCCAATACTTCTCCTTCCATTACCTCACCTGTTAAATACTTTAAAGACAATGGCCATCTGGTCATCCACTCTGAGCACACCGATTTTGCAGAGGCAGCAGAGGAAGGCTGCAAATGCAGCTTCGTGCCCTAGAGTTAAAAGACATGAAGAGACGTGACACTGGTGTCTCTGGTCCCCAGGACAAGATTTCTGTGGGCCCTTCAGGAATCACATCAGTCACAGCCTCATGTCAAGACCCCCATGCCTTCTGTCCCTATTAATGCCATGAGCTGACAATATTTCATCCCCACGCAACACCCACCCAATCACTCATAAGGTGATTATTAACTTTGAGAAAATAAGTTCCTGAAGAAAAACAGCTCCAGCACTGGGCATGCTGGGAGAAAGGCAGGGTCTTTCCCAGGAGCTTGGCACAGCAGGGGAAGCGTAGCACCGCAGAGTCATCTGCTTGGGAGATGCGAGGGAACCTCACATCTGCAAGTAAACAGATTTCCTCCCACTTCAAAAATATCTCGGTGTTGGAAGGATGCAGATCCCATGACGCTGACAGGAACAGTCTGTCCCAGAAGGTACCAGGATCTCAGGCTGAGCCTCTGCAGCTTTGTCCCCCAGTTAACAGCAAGGAAATGAAACAACCAGCAAACCCAGAAATGTCTTTTAGTGAAAGGGACCACAGAAGAAGGGAGAGTACAAGATCAGCAGATCCACGCTGTGAAGAAGTGCAGCTCCCAGTGTGGGAACAAAGTGTACCTACAGTCTAGCCACTGTGCTAGGACATGGGCCTCTGGCCTGGGACACACAGGAGGGGAGGAAAGGCTGAATTTCCTTCCCCAAGCTGACAGAACCCCAGCCAGCAGATCCCTTTCCAAAGACAACATCTCCCCCTGGTGCCAGCGAGCCGCAGCTCTCCTGGCAAGCACTGCACAGCCTCCAGCTCTTCATCCTTTTACCCACGTCCTCCTCGTCCTCTCCCTGCCCAGGTCTAAAGCTGTGTTTCCTCACACCCACAGCCCTGCTCTCCGCCTGTTGTTGAGGACACACCTGCTCTCCAGACAGAGGAGCAGAGGACATAGAGGATTTTGGACGTAGTCTAACTAAAGCCAGTGTGGTTACTTCAACCCGCAATTCAGTATCAATTTAGGTGCAAAATGCTTCTACCTTCAGATTACAAAGTCCCTCTATAAACAGCAGTGTCACTTCTAGGAAGCACCAGACCTCAGGACACCTCCCACTGAATACAAACTTGGTTCCCACTGTAGTTCCAATTCAAGCAATTGTATTTTATCCCTCTAAACTGCCTACTGCAGATCAGCAAGTACAGGACTGCTGTATGCGGTAAAGCAGCTCCTACAGCTTATCCCAGAAGGGCTTGCACAGCTTGGTTCATATTTCCTCAGCTGAGACGTGAACAGGGTGTCATAGGTCTGGCAGAGCCCTGCTCCCAGCCCCAGTTCTCTCAGTCACAGCCCACAGTAGACATAAGGGTGAGGAGGCCCCAGAAGGAAGATGCTTGTTTCAAGCTGGCACTCAAAATACCAGCAATAAGACATCGAAATAAATGCAGCACCAGGCCCCGAAGGGTCACTGCCCGAAGGAGCCCAGCCTCGCCAGCACGCGTGCCCGGGTACCTGTGCCATAGTCAATGCGGGTGGAGTTCCCCACAGATTCCTTCAGGTACACGGCCACTTCTGGTGCAGCATCAGCCAGATGCTTGGGAATCACTGTCGCCACCAACTTTTCTGCTTCCTGAAAGACACAAAAGAATCCCTTGAGTGACTGCAGATATGTCACAGTCCCCAGGAACAAGTCACCCTCTGCTCAGGCGCTGTTGCAGAGTGGGAGCTGCAATGGTGCACTCCTACAGAGGACAGAGCCAGCATAACAGAGGAGCAAATTCTCTTGCTGAAGAAGTCAACTCCAGAGATGAAGCAATTCAGGGAGAGCTTGTCCTGACATTTACCCAGGCCACATGCATCCTGGAGAAAAAAAAGCTTCACCATCCCAGTACATCAACCCAGTTAGCCACTAAGTCATCTCCAGGACAAAAGCACTATAGAGCAGCAGACCACCTGCAAGCTCACTGCTGCTGGGCCTCCAGAGCTCGGTGCAGGGCAAGTGCTCTGAGCTAAAGGAAGTCAAGCAGTTTCACAACCTTCCTCTGATTGTGTGTGTCACCCATCAGCTAGCAGACACAGTGAGCAGTTACAAAGCAAAGGAGTTCTTTGGCCTTGAGGAGTCCTCATGGCTCATCCAGGACTTGGAGACCCAGCCAAGGGCATTTACATGGCCCGTACACTCTCATAAGAGAAGACAGCACCAGATCAGGGATAAGTGATGGATATCAAGAGGTGGACCCTTCACAGCTTATCCAAGCAATTCCTCTGTAGGCTGCTTGGCTGCCACACAGTGACAGAGCCATTCTGCTACTCCTGCTGCACACACTGCCCTTCTGTAGGAGCTGCATGTAGCAGCTTTCACTACACGTGAAAGACAGGCTCACCTGGTCTAGTTTGGCGTACCAGGTCCTGAAGGCTTTGTTCCCAAAGCGAGAAGGTTGATCCACTGGTGGGGTTTCATCGATCCACCTGTCAAGCGTGTTCAGAAGAGCCACCAGCTTTTCAATGGGCTACAGAGACAAAGAGGATGAGGGGTCACGGTGACATAAAACAGAGCAGTCCCTCAGGGTCCGACATCTCTGCCCTAGACTGAAGTTGTTAAAGCCCACACCATTCTTCCCGAGGGTGACAAGCAGAAACGGGCTGTGCCAACCTTCCCCAAAATGCAGAGGGGCCAAGAAAACCACCCCTCCCCTCAGAAGATCAGTCTAGTACAAAGCCCAGCCTGAGGCAGGCTCTCCAGTCGCCCACACAGTCTTTCATGAGCTGTAACAGCACTATGCTCTAAAACCTCTGAGAGCTACAGCAAGCTCCTAGCTGTAGGGCTCACAGCGCTGAGAGGCAGGGAAGTGCTATACAATTCAGGGATATGCAACACGAAACTGAGACTCTGCATTGTGAGGTCCTGCGTTCCCCCTGGGATAAAGCACAGCACTTACTGTATATCCTCACCAGTGACTGCTGATGTGATTGAAGAGGCCCTCCTCAAGGCCTCTAATCTTTGTCCTGAAGTGTGTCTTAGGAGTCAGGATTAGCAATGACAGTGTTAGCGTTTGTGCAGCACCCAGCACAGCAGGGCCTAATGGCTAGTCAACCTTCTCACCATGATTCTTGTTGCTTCAAACTCAGACTAACCAGACTGCCACGGCAGCTCCAACCCAGGGACACCCAGTGCACGTGGCAAAATACAACTTACCCAGGTTGTACCTACCCAGGGGAAGAGGCAGCCTGGTTTGCCTACCAGTGGCCTCATTAGAGCAAGCATGAGAAGCTCTTGGCTCTCAGAGAAATGTCTTAATACAAACACAAAGCTGATGGGAACACAAATGCAACTGCAAGACAACAGAGTCACCGTTCTTACCCCCAGTGCTGGAAGGAGGATGTGAGGAACCTGTGTAGGATGTACGAGAGCAACTGGAGACAGCACTGCTGTGGCCATAAAGGAAAAGGAGAGAGGTGCAACAGGCGATACAGCACAATGTCTCAAGCTGTACTGTTACGACCAGGGCTGGCCAGCACATGCAGCCTCTCCTGTGCCTTGACCATACAGCTGGGGAACAGCTACACCCCACACACCAAGAAGCAACACCATAGACACACTTTAAGCAGCTCCAATCAGTTTTAGGAGGCTCTGCTGACAACTGGTCAAGCCTGCCAGAGGCTCAGGGATTCTCCTTGCCCATCTCCAAGCAGCTGGAGAGCCGTCAGCCACCACAGCAGCTGGCCAGGCCCCGGGCAATGTAGGCTCCTCTGTCTCAAGAGGGGATTCCTCCTTCAAGGGGACAAAGAGGACAGCAGAAGCAGCGGCTGGTTTGACTTTGCTGGAGGCATCGACCGTGTGAAGCCGGCTGGTCTCCTGGGCTGTGGTTCAATTCTTCACGTTGCCTGCTGGGAGGACAAGGAAAGAGCCGAGCCCAGCAAGTTTCTAGCCCTTGAAGTGCCACTCGAAGGGGGTGGGTGGAGAGACAGGTATGGCAGAGCCGTGCTGCTGCTGAACCAGCTGCGGATCGCTCCCCATGCCCCCCACTCCCAGGGTCTCACGGCAGACACAGCCTCCCCCAGACAGCAGCTCCTCCAGAGCCAAGGACATGGTGGGATCAACCAGTGGAAAGCAGGACCAGGTAGGGGAGGCTGGGACCTCAATATCCAGCCACTGAGCCAGGCTAGAAACTGTGACCGAGGACAAGACCTGAGCACACCAGGAGCACAGAACACTCGAGTGCCAAGGGAGGACATGGCAGGTCAGAAGCTCTGGGTTCACTGGGAACACTGCAAGCTGGAGCCACTAACGGGCCAGCGCTCCAAATTCGCGTGGACCGAGGCAGCGTGACCTCCTCTGCTTCAGCTCCCTGCTGCCCCAAATGCTGCAGAAACCCAGCATCTCCCCACTGCACCAGGCCAGGTTTGGACTCAGCTCTACTTCCTGGCTACTGCATTCCCCTCCAATTAAGCAACAGTGTTCCCAGCACTGGGTTGCATTAAATAATTAAATCGTGCTGGTGATTTATCCGCCGGCACCAGCAGCTCATTACGAGCAGCCACCGTATTTCAAACCCCTCACAGTGAGCACTCGGCGCTGCCTGGATAAATGGCTGGCAAGGACCGGCTCCTTCCCCCTCCCCAGATCTGCCCGCAGGCCTTGGGGAGCAGAGTCGAACCTCCCCTTCCCCACTCGCTTGCTTTAAAGGGATTAAAAAGCCCAGCCCCACTGAACACGGGAGATCAGGACCCAGCTGCTGGCTCAGCCACGCCAATAAATAATTAAAGAGATGTGGCTCGTTCTGGGCTCAAGCCCTTTGAAAAGGGGGTTACTAAAGGAGCAGCTTCCCATTGTCCGGCAGAGGAAACTTGTGTACCCAGGGCTGACCCCAGCAGGGGAGAAGGAGGGGAAGAGCATTGCTTACGGGAACACAACCATCAGCACCACCACAGCCTTGTTTTGCCTGGCTGGGTTTTTAAGCTCTATTTTTGCTTTACCTTTCCAATGATCAAAGCAAGGGCAGCCTCCCCACCCCCACTCTCCTTGCTCTTCTCGTTGTGCTGATTTTGCATCCCCTTGACCCTGAGTCTACCACCGGTCCCAAAGGCAAACCACAGAGCCTCCTGCAGAGCAAAGACCTGTCAGCATCTCTCATGAGCAGGGGCCAGGCAGACCGAGGTGCTGAGAGGGCATCACGGCAGCCAGAGCTGCTCACGGGGACCAAGCCTGTCCCTGTGGGGCCCTGTTGGAGGGAGGAGCTGCTAAAACTGGGGCATTTGCTGCTTCTCCCGCTCCCCTCCTGGAACCACTGCAAGCCACAAGGCCAGCCAAGATCCCCCAGTGCATCAAACTGTTTCAAGGGAAGGCCTGCTCCTCACATGGCCAAAATTAACCTTCTCCTTGCTGCACTGCTCCTCTGATCAAAGCCACAGCTTTAAAAAACTGCTTTCAGGCTGCAGCCCCAGCAGTCGTTGCATGGATCCCCCACGTGAAAAACACTCCCTCCAGGAGGAGAAGGCAGGTCACAGACTATCAGTCATACAACCTTGTGCCAGACATAGCGTCTACACCAGTCCTAAACAACAGCTTCGCTATCACTACTTGTCAGATGCCTCCAGCAAAACCCCAGACAGCTCCATGCAATTTTTCAGTACGAGCAGAGCAAGCTCAGCAAGTCTCAGAAGGGGCTCAGCCCCCAAAGGATCCCGCTCTCACTCCAGCAGACAGTTTGGTATCGACACAGGCTACTCTGGAAACCATTAAGCTGTCTCTTTTCAAAGCAGAGCAGACCATACTTTTTTTTTCTTTTTCTTTTTTTTTTTTTTCCTGTGGCAAAGCAATACCGGTAAGTCGTGGAGAGGATACACATTCAGCAGAAAGGATTCCAGGAGGTCATTTGCCAGAGGAAGGCGTCCCCAGCATTTGATCAGGGAAGAAGATGGGACGGCACAAAAGCACATCAGCAGCAGGTACAGCAAAAGAGAAGAAAGCAGAGCAGAGATGCAAGCAGAGGCCACAAGGGGCTGAGCCTTTAAAAGCACAGATAAGCAGTTTGATCTACAAACGAACGCGCGTGAACAGGCAACCTCATCAACAAGGCAACCCTGGGGATGCTCCACCTGTGCCTCAAGTCACAGGCTTCTGCTCTCCTGAGCGCGCAAGGAATGAGACATGTTGCCTGACGCTTCCCAAGCAGTCAGCATCGTGTCTCTTGTTTATCACCCCGACTGGGACCGCATGGACACAGCCCAGATACAGCTTTTCCTAGATAGCTGACAGCTCAAAGGAGTTGGCAGAAGAGGTTTTGTGGGTTTTTCCCCCTTTGTTTTGCTTATTTTTAATGCTTTGTTTCCCTAGAATTGCTCTGTGAATGGTTGGGAATGAGCAAGATCAGGACAAAGACAAAACTCAAAGGTGAAATGCAAACAGTAGAAAGCAAGAGCAGCATTTGACAGCAGTTTCTGCTGAACTGAAGGAACAAAAGGTGGACACAAAGCCTGTTAGGGAGGGATTCATTATCCCTCATCCCCCCCATGAACTACCAGCAAGTTTCTCATTCACACACTGGCTGCTAGAAGGGAAGGCTGGGCTTAACAAGTCTGCTTCAGACATAAATGACTAGGTTAAAGATCATCGTGGGTTGCCTTCCCGCACCAGAATAAGCTATAAACACACAGGGCCCAGCCTGCTTCCCATTCCACCTGGATCTTTTGAGACCATTCCCAGCTTTCTCGCACAGCTGTGCTAAGTTTGAACAGTAAAAACATCCCCAAGAATCTCCTCATTGCAATGCAGGACAAGGGAGGGGGATCCAGCGTGCAAGACAGAAGTGAAGCTGGTGGCCACCACGTGCTCTGCAGATCCCAGCAGCACCCAGAGGCCCCAGGCCAGCAGCAACTCCAGTGAGGATGTCTGTCCTTTCCCACCCAGGGACAGGGAGACAAGTGACTTGCCCAAGGTCCCACAGAAAGGCAGTGGGAGAGCAGGAACAGTACAGACATCTCAGCCTTTTGCCTGCAACCAGGAGGGAATACCACATCTTCAAAACATCAGTGGTTGAAGCCAGACTGAGAAAACAGGGCCAAAACACAGCCTTTCTGCATCCTCCTTTTCACCAGCAGCATAACCCAACTGCAGTTATTCTCCCTGTCTCCCAGATAAACTGCCAACTCATTCCTTGCCTAGGAAATATTCACTGTAGAGTAAAATAAAAAAAAAAAAGGAGAAACAAGGGATCCAAAAGTCTTCTCCTACCTCTGAAACTTTGTATTCACAGGTCAGCTTCTTGCCCCTGACACCTTCATTCAGAGTGAGGATGAAGCCCATGTAATCTGCATAAGCCTGCAAACACACCCGAGAGAGCAGGGTGTTAGTGAATGCCCACAGTCTGTTTGAACATGCAGCGCAGCATGGGAGCACTCCTGCACGCCAAGGGAACCTTTCCCAGCACACAACACTGCTTTCTTGGAGACACCCAGGGTGCAGGGCTTACTGAGAGGTTACTGCTATTTTCAGCAGACCTCAGAGGCAGATGGCAATTGCACTAAGAACTCTGCATCACTGTAAAAATTACAGAGAGGAGAATCCTAAAAAAAGCTTGCACTGCCCCCAAAATCCTTCCCTCAGCTCCCTGCCTCCTATCAGGTGAAATTCAAACTCCTTGGCTCTGCAGTCTAAGCTGTGAGTAGACATCCTGCTCTGCACTGCTCCTCCCAGACCCACACTGTAATCTCCTCTTTCCTCCTTTCATTCTTCTCCCATGCTCATGCATGATGGAGAAGCGGGAGACAGCCCAGGCTCCTCACTGACCTTCTCTTTAAATGCACTGCTTTTGAAGCATCATACCCAGTGCAGCTCTGTCTTTGTAAACACCAGACTAGCATGCTCCCACCTCTCCTTCCTCAGGCCCCTCCTGCACAGAAATCCTGACCAGGAGCAAGTCCTTAAACCCAGGAGACTTAACAAAGGAAGCTGCACTCAGAGGTTTGCTTGAGATAGGGCTATAAGTTAAGCTTCTCTTAAGACACCACAGATCAGTCATCAAGCGAGAACTTGCTCCTAAGAGGTGGGACAAGTCTGAGCTAACACACCAATCCCTCAAAGGCAGAGACGGGAGAACATGCCTGTTCCACCAGCTCCACACACACTGTAAACAAAAATTATCCAGGAAATTGAAGGCCTCGGCTCTAGAGCCCCTTCCAACACAGCAAGGTGGGAAGGCCCCAGGAACCAACCCAGCCAGATGCTATTAGATGGCCAGGCAGCAGGGCCATGTTCAAGCCAAGTTCAAACAGCAGTGGTTAAAGCCAGTTTTGATATCATGTACAGGCTAGGTATGATTAAATAGTCACCAGCTTCTCGTCTAGCTTGTCGGGAGGGAGCAGTAATGATTTTTAAGCATCTCTGGTTTCCCTCAGCCTCTGGGCTCTCCCTGGCTCACTCCTTTGTCAGAGCATTTGGCTGCCAGACTCCACACCTCACTGTCAAGTCATTTTCCTACAAACAAGCAGTGACTCTTCTGCTTTAAAACACAAATCAATTAATTTCCCATTGCTTGCCGAAACCTGCTTTACCTTGTGGCTGTTTCCAGACCAGACCTGGATGCCACTGAAGCATAATAAGCACTTACCAGTTTTCCCTGACCCCAGAGCCATACCTGAGAACGCTTCCACTTGGCCATGTCAGAAACCATGTTTATCTCCTTTTTGGGGATCATGAAGTTCTGCTGGAGGGGAGGAGCCACCTCCTCAGAGGTGCCTGGGAGATGTAAAAAAAGAGGTAAAATAGAGGCAGTGGAGAAGAAATCCTCTAGCTTCCTTTCTTAGAAATCAACATTCATTTCTCAGGAGACAGGAAGCAAACAAATCCATCCCAGCTTGCACCAATATCTCAAGTCCTCCTCACCAAACAATATCCTCCCCATTCCCGGATAATTTACTTCTAAGGACACTGCAAAGCTTCAGAAAATGGCATTATATTTGGTTTCACCACTAAAGATGCATTTCTCATCCAGACAGAGAGGTTGGTGCAGGAGATAACAAAGACAACATCCAGCTAGTTTAATTATTTCTGTCTAGTAAAGATAAGCCTCAGGTTGCTCTGAAGCACTGTGTTCCCCTAACAAACTAACTGTGCCTTGTTTTTAGGGTATTAAGCATTCCTTTAATGAGGACAACTGCAAAGACAAAGCTGGAGCAATTCAATAGATGGCAGTCCAGAGCCACAGCCCCCAGTCCAGGCAGCACAGGGGCTTGGAGTATGCCAGGACACAGCCTCTTCCACGTGGCAGCCATGAACATCTTTTAATTTTAAAGCTCTCTCAGATGTAATATTTAGTGCAAATGCAAATTGTTAACGCATTAGACGGGCTCTTTTTCCCAGCATCCGAACCAAGGACCCAACGCTACTGTAAGGGTGACCCCTACCCCACGCTCTGAGAGCTCTGCTCTCAGCTGGCAGTCCCGCAGTGGGACCCTGCAGAGCCAGAAACACTCCATGACATTAGAGGTAATTTGCATTATGCTCCAGTAAGTGCAACTTTTAACAGCAAGCAGCAGTGCAGCAGACCACTGTTAAGGAAACTGGGTGCTAATGTGAAGATAAGAATTCTGTTAGAGTCACCCAGGTCATCTTCTTCATCCTAGAAAATCTGAAGGCATTTGCTCAGCACCAGCCACCCTGGCAACACCTCAGTGACTGCTCTCCACACTACAGCAAGTTCAGGCACCGGATCCATAACATACACCACCAAACTCCAACTCCTTAAAATATTATTAACTACATTTACATAGAAAATACTACACAGAAGCATCAGCAGCCTTTTCTGCAGCAGAGCAGCACTGCCTAGCAGGCAGACCAGGGAAAAAGGAATCCAAAGTCCCAGGAACCACTCAAAATCTGCTACAGACTTGTCACATAACCTTAGACAGTGTCATTTAACTTCTCTGTCTCTTGGGTTCCCCATCCACAGAGCAAATGCAGTCTCATCACCTGCCTTGGGAGTTACGGTGCTTGGTTCATTTCTGCGCATAAGTTCAGGAAAATTTGTGGTACAAGGATAAGAAGAAGAACACACGAGGAATTTAAATGAAAGATACGCATCCCTCTTCTGAAAATTCAGCACACAACTCACAATGGCTAGCATCCGAACAACAGAGCTCTTATTTTAAAAGAGCCTATAACATGAAAACAATTAAAAACTCCAGAGCAACGGTGTAAAAAGGCAAATACTGACTTGTCCATTAACACAGATGATGCATAAAGACCAGAGATGCAGCCAGGGCAGTGTCCTGGACCAGGGGGATCCAGGTGTTAGCCCAACCTCTGTCTCATCACAGAACTTATTTAATGTCTTTGCATTTATTTCTGAACCATCGCTTCTGACACACACCCTGCATTTCCTCTTGGGGAGGAGACCACAAATACTCAAGGAAGGAAACACAATGAGGGCTGCAGAGCTTACAAGACTATAAAATTAATACAGATGCAAAAGTCCAAAAGTAATGATGCAACAGAGACAGGAGCAGAACGGATTAGTTTTATGATGAGAAGCAACTTGAACAAAATAGACACTTTCAGTCTTATTCTCGTGGTGTGGAGAGGGGAATCAAACTCAGCTGAGACGGACTTACCACACCGGCAACCACCGCCCATCTCAGCAACGGGAAACAACCAGAAAAAAATGGGCTACAGATGACAGGGAGCCCCAGCTCCAGCTCTCCGGCAGCCTAAACCCCGATCCCCCCCGGGATACGCAGGACGGACCCCCACACCGTCACCCCTCACAGGACAGAGGGTCCCCCCGCCCCATCGGGGTGCAGATCGCGCAGGGAGCTCCAGCCCAGCCCTCGCCGTCTCGGGGGGATCCGGCCCGCACC